GTTTTTTTAGCTGAAATTTCATGGTGATGTATTGTTAGATCAAGTTTTGTCTTAACAAAACATGTTATTTGTGATATACGTATCATTTATAAAACTCTGAAAAAGTTACTTTTTGTGTAAGGCTGTTAAAGTAAAGGTAAAATGATTATAGTTAGTTTCTGGTTGCCCGAGACCTGAATGTCTATTTCCCAGGTAATACCAATTCAAAATGCACAGATATATTTAAAAAGCATAATGTATTGATAGCCAAATAAACGCTTTCAGTATCATCTGCACTGTCCCCAGAACTGATACCAACTGGGTATGCATAGATCACCTAATTGGATTGGTCAGATAATTTCTATGGCAATTTTGGAGGGAGTTATAGTACACAGGAGGTGTTTTAGTTTTTCTAACTAACACAAGGTTGAAAAAGGACTAACTCCCTTGATGGTGAAGTCAGGGTTAAGCTGGGATATAATTAATTTAACGAGTGACCCTAATGTAGAGTAAATAAAGTAGAAATATAATAACTACTACATGTAGATTGAATTTAAGTTGCAACGTCAGTCAGGTGTGTTTATTGGGGTAAATTTGGTCAGAATTAATTATCTTTATTTTGTTTGCAAAATGAGTATAATACTCTTGGGAAATATCCTGTTGATTTCATGATATGATAGAACTTCAGACTTGCAAATTGATTGAATAGTTTTTATAGTCAGCCGTCCATGTTTGGCATTGTATTTCATGTGTTTCACGTTATTTTTTTGTTTTGTATTTTTGTTCATCAAAGATAGTATCAGTATTGTCAGTCGTCAGTATTGGAGGAGGCCTGACCAAACTGAAGGTGCCTGTTGTTACTGCAGCTATCCTGTAGTCCATCATTGATTAGTATCCTTGGAAAAGGTTCCGTCTAAGTTTCGTGAACTTTGTGGTTACTAGAAGCACTATCCAGAGTGATGGTCTGAATTTGTATTCAAAGTTTCCTTCCTTTGATTGAAGTGCAGTAGATAAGAATCTGACTGTAAGCGTATTCAGGTAGAATGGGATATTTGCTGTATGGTAGAGGTGTTCAAATATACAGTACGATACAGGTATAATTAATATTAATGTACCAGTAATGAGTACCTTCCAAAATGAGGTTTAACTTTTGATATAGAAAACTTTGACTGGTTGTATATGTAATTGAGACAGTTACATAACACATGACCCTACATTCACTGATGTCAATCAATCAATCACTGATGCAATGTTAACTCACATAGGCGACCACTTAACATGAACATGTATAAATGAAAAAAAAATTCTTCTAAGAAAATCAATTTCTGCATTATTGACAGCTATATCCATGGCAACCCATTCTAGTCTCACTTTTCACTGTTGCCTTATGTAGATCTTGAAACGATGCCAATCAGACATGGTTCCTAATTTGATCTATGTTCCCAAAACAGTACTAAATATAATGTTTGTCAATATATTACCTCCCCCATCAAGCCCCTTGAAATATTCATTCATAAAGCATTTCAAAATGTGAGTGAAATTCTTTTTCTTAAATTTTGTCAGGATATATCTTACCAGGGTATTTCTATGACACAAATTTGAAGTAAAAACATGATGCAGATCAATATTACAACATTAGCATAAATGTGTAAAGAATGGTTACTGATCACATTTCGCAGACAGAGTACTGTATGCCAATTGCTAGAATACCATTTACATATGTTTGCAAACTTACTTTAATTATTATCGGAATTCTTGGCAGAATTCTATTATTATAAATACAATCCAAAATTATAGACCTTAACACGAATGTACTGCAGTAGACGATGCAACATGTGGATGTGACGTTATACTAGACCAGCCGAGGAAAGCTTTCCTCGATCACTGTGTTCACCTGTAGATACCATCTTGTCTGCACACCCACTCAGAGTCGGACTTCAGTTATCTCATATCTACTAGGATTGTTGTGTGATGACACAGACTGTGACATAAAGCTCATTAAATCTGTAGGTTTATCATCATAGGGCGTTTCATTGGAGTATCAGTATCAGGGATGATGCAGCAAATGCTTTCTAAATAAGTTAAAGCAATACCTTTTTATTTTCGTTAGTTTGTATTCATTTCAAGTTATTGAGGGTGCAGTACATTTATAAGCTTTAAATTACATCTTTGTTATAAACTTCATAATGAAAAGTTGGAGAGTAGTTTAAGATGAAGTTGAAGATAAAGTTGGAGAGTACTTTAAGATGAAGTTGGAGAGTAGTTTAGGATGAATCTGGAGAGTAGTTTAAGATGAAGTTGGAGAGTAGTTTGAGATGAAGCTGGAGAGTAGTTTAAGATGAAGTTGGAGAGTAGTTAGAGATGAAGTTGGAGAGTAGTTTAAGATGAAGCTGGAGAGTAGTTTAAGATGAAGCTGGAGAGTAGTTTGAGATGAAGTTGGAGAGTAGTTTAAGATGAAGTTGGAGAGTAGTTTGAGATGAAGTTGGAGAGTAGTTTAAGATGAAGTTGGAGAGTAGTTTAAGATGAAGCTGGAGAGTAGTTTAAGATGAAGTTGGGGAGTAGTTTGAGATGAAGCTGGAGAGTAGGTTAAGATGAAGTTGGAGAGTAGTTTGAGATGAAGTTGGAGAGTAGTTTAAGATGAAGTTGGAGAGTAGTTTAAGATGAAGCTGGAGAGTAGTTTAAGATGAAGTTGGAGAGTAGTTTAAGATGAAGCTGAAACAAGGTACGAATCTTATCACATATCAATATATACCCTATACTTTAGACATACAGACAGCAAAATATAATTTCTAATGTTTTGCTGATCTTATTATGACTCACAATGGAAATACAGAAAAAAGATTCCCTGTGTGTCCTTGTATTTTTACAATTGACCTTTTTATTTAAGTTAAAGGAGCATTGAATTTGTCCATGTTTATAAAGATTTTGCTTTTTCTGATTCAGTATTGAAAATCAGCAAAAATAAAGTAAGAGGGAAAAGGTTTTGATAAGAAACCATTAATTCAATTACAATGCTTGGGATTTGATAATGTCGTTGACCTCAACAGTCTAAAAGGTAGAACAATCGATCATTAATGTTATACTGTAGATAATTTAGTCAATTTATACATTAATATGCATGTAAACTTGATAAATGAGCCTTATCTATAATTGACTGAATGAAGATAAAATTATTAATTACAGTTGATATTTTTGATGAGAAAATATATTTTGCATGTTAATATGGTACAATGGAGGAGTTAAATAAGTAACAGGATCCATTCCTGATTATAGTCACTTTTTCATCACCATTAAGTTATTATGTGCAATTGAGAAATTTAATTTTCAGCCAAAAAAATCTGAATTTCAGAAACATTCATTTGGCAGAAGTTTTTATTAAACTACCAAAACCATTTGACTCATCAAGTAATAAATTGGGAGCAACGAGAGAGTGTATGGTAATAGCTCGCTGTCACGTGCCATATATAGTGTACTTAACTTGGTGGGTCTGATTTGTAAATTATAAAGCACTAGATAATACCTTCATATCAAATGTCAAACCATCTATACTGGGCTTTATCTGGCTGTGCCCCCGGTAATGTGTCGTTTACAACAATACTTGGCGTTTGACAGATGTAATAGATGCTCCCCCTCCCAATTTGTACGACTGGCACCGTACTAACTTAACATATACATGTGATGTAAGATACACGTTGAGAGCCAGTGGTGATAAAGTAGATAAATTACACCCAATTTGGCACAATATGTTGTGACATTTATCAAATCTACTCTCTGCAATCCCGGCCCATTCACAAAGCATTGTCAGCCAGTACAAACATTCCTAATTATTTCTCCGTTTAAATACTGACCCAAACTGGACTGAATACCCAAGTCTGAATGGATCAAAAGATATGCTAATTCAGTGATTTTGGTCAATGAATCACGGAAGAATTATTTTGAGGTGCTTTAGAAATATCAAGAATGAGGGTTGAGAATATACGTGAAACTAGTTTGTATATAGGTCTGTATCTGACTGTTCCAAACGATATGTTGAGGTTAGTTTCACAGTCTGGTGACAAGTCGGAACTGATTGAAGTCGTATTGGAGGTTGCATACTGAACAGCTCAGGGTCACAGGTAATCGTATCACTATCATAGGGTGAAATAATTAAACGTAAATGAAAAAGGCTATGTATACATCAGAGCTGTTGATGGGTTTCACAGTAGCAGATTTGTGCCGATAACCTTAACATGTACATTGTACATTGCTACTTGTTAGTACAAAAGGAAAGTTAATTTTTGAGCCTATATTAATACTTTTCCTACATTGCGTGTGAACAGATGAGTTTTGATTTTAGTCCATCAAAGTATTTTGAGAAGAAAATTAGATTAAGGGTGAAAGTTAAACCTCTTTTTTTCTTTATAACATTTAAAAAAAAAAGTTATGTTCAAAAGAATGATAAATATCTACATAAATATAGAAAGTCTTTTTCATCACTTTAGTGACTTCTATATTTTGAAAGGATTTCCCCAAACTTTATACACTGGATATGATAGTTTGTGTTTTAGGGTGCAAAGGTAAAAGTCACAGTTGCTATTAAAACAAACTAAATATTAGTATAAAGATACAGTCATCATTGGATGATTAAGTTGCCACTTCTCCTAAATTGCTGTGTGGATTTTAACCATATTTTGCTGAGATATTACTAGGACAAGATGATCACATATTGTATACATGAATCAGTTGCAACCTGAAGGGCCAGAAAGTTTGGGTCCCAATACACATGCATATAAACACATGCTTACAAGACTGGACTAGGGACCTACCCTGTTCTCTGGGACTTATAGTCCCTGATTCATGGCATGAAAAAGTAATATAACATAGTATATATAGATATGAAGAGACTAATACACTCAGACTACCAGGATTGGTCATAGGTCTAGCTTTCCCCCTTGACATTTACATGTAGTTCTGTTGTTATGGCTTGGAAACAGTTTTTTTTTTTTAGGGTATAATTGAAATGTGAAATTTCTTGTCTTCAGGGAAAGCTAACTTCAGGAAGAAAAAGACACGTATGGCCAGAATCAACAAGTTTGGAGAGGACATGTCAGAATCAGACTCCGATGTCTCATCAGACGACACTGAGTTAGAGATGGAAAAGGTGGAAGCAGGTCCCACAGGAGGGGATGAAGAGGTGGAGCAAGAGGGCGAAGAGGAGGAGGACATGAATGAAATGGAGACAGAATTACTAGACTGTATCTGAAAGAACACATTATTTCGATATACAAAATATGTTACTCAACATCTCTACAAGCAGTGCCCATATAGGACTGATGGTGAGACAAAAGGTACCTGTCTAATACAAACACAACACTCATTACAAAGTTGCTAAAACGGATCTAAGTGCTACATTACATACTGAGATCAGGTGATAATGGCAGATCTTTGATGAGTGTTGGTTGTCTAAAGGATAAGTGTGAGTGTTCCTATGAACATATTACTTGGTCTATACAAGGAAGAAGTGTCTGTGGGCCATCTGAAGAAGTGTCTGTTGGCCATCTTAGGGGGAAATGTTAATGGACAGTCTGAGGGAAAGGTGTATGGGGGAGAAGTTGAAGAGGCATCTTTAGAATTTCAGACTTGATAGTCGAATTGATATTGAGGTTAATGTCCAACTAAATTCCATCTCTTGTACCATTCCTTGAGTATAGAACGTTTTTTATTGCTAACAGAACTGCATTCACATAGGTATTGATTACTTGGGGAAAAAGAATAAATATATCTGAGATCTGAGGATGAAAATTCTAAAATCTGTTAGCAGAAATAAGAATGGCATGGTACAAATATTGAACAGGGACATAGGTATGAGGTGTATCTGGAGGCATGGCCAGTGGACCTTACATATAAACCTGGAGGTCAGGACACCCTGTGAGTGTGTATACTAATACTATGTATGACTTGACATATTCAAAAACATCCCTCCCGTCAGCAAAATTCCTTAAACTGGTTTCACAGTCAGTGGGATATAATGTTGGTATATAATAGTTGGTGTCTACCACATCGAAAGGTGTGTTAGTCATGGTGTATTGAATGACATTGAGATGAGTCATGTTGTGAGGAAGAAATTAAAGGAAAGATGTGAAATAACTGAAAGGAATAAAATGAATCTTCAATGAGGTTTTAAGTTATTAAATTCAAACCAACTGTGATTATTTCTATGTATGAAAAACTTGATATACATGTACAGTGAACTTCATTTCAAAAACTTCGTTTTTTTATGTAAATCTACAGTACACACCTGAGGTGTTTTAAATAACCAGGACAAACATTCAGTATGACATAAGAAACCTTCAAATTATATATATAGAAAATGTCTAGGAAAGAACAGCATGATTTTAACGTATCATCAGCTACAAGATAGTGTTATTTTCCCTTAATGGTACGTTTACTTCAACAACACGTACAAGTTCTAGCAGAAAACAGTTCCATGAAACAATCCACAAAATATATACCTGTTTGTATTATGAACCGGAGTCACGTTCTTTAGGGTAATATTAGAATGATTGAAATTGTTTACACAATGACAAATTGAGTATACATGTATTATATTATAAAAGTCCTAAATACATTATGATATTTTAAAAGGAATGCATAGAATATATATATATATATATTAACAAGACGGGGTAGGTCGAAACGAAATGAAAGCATCCGGTTCGGAAAAAGATATATTTAAAAATTAACATCAGCGACACAGCGGAACAAATTATGACAAAGGGTTTGCTCTGAACAACAGCTCCAAAACCATATATTTTCGTCACCAGAAGCGCGCTGCAGGGTATAGATAATGGATAAGGAGGAGACGAGATACCAAATGGCTATAGGCTGTTGCTGTGATGCTGGAACTGTGTTAACATGTCCCGGAGCACCAACAGTGTAGATAAAAGTGCATCGTGCAGCTACCGACCCGATCTAATTAAATTTGTTTAATTAAACACGAAACAACGTCACAACCAAGATTGCATTAAATTGCTAAAGATGATAGATACAAATTCGTTATTCACACCACGTATACAAAAATGTGCGAGCTAATGGTTGGCTCTATAATTATAGACAGGGGATCACTTTATATATTCAACCTATCTTCACTGATCGTGTCAGCATTTTGATCCAATAGAGGCACATTGTGTAGTGTCAAACGGGTAGCAATGATAGGAGAATGTCTACCTGTGTGGTGTCCAAGGGGTAGCAATGATAGGAGAATGTCTACCTGTGTGGTGTCCAATGGGATCACTTTATATATTCAACCTATCTTCACTGATCGTGTCAGCATTTTGATCCAATAGAGGCACATTGTGTAGTGTCAAACGGGTAGCAATGATAGGAGAATGTCTTCCTGTGTGGTGTCCTAGGGGTAGCAATGATAAGAGAATGTCTACCTGTGTGGTGTTTAATGGGTAGCAATGATAGGAGAATGTCTACCGGTGTGGTGTCCAAGGGGTAGCAATGATAGGAGAATGTCTACCTGTGTGGTGGCCTAGGGGTAGCAATGATAGGAGAATGTCTACCTGTGTGGTGTTCAATGGGTAGCCATGATAGGAGAATGTCTTCCTGTGTGGTGTCCAAGGGGTAGCAATGATAGGAGAATGTCTTCCTGTGTGGTGTCCTAGGGGTAGCAATGATAGGAGAATGTCTACCGGTGTGGTGTCCAAGGGGTAGCAATGATAGGAGAATGTCTACCTGTGTGGTGTCCAAGGGGTAGCAATGATAGGAGAATGTCTACCTGTGTGGTGTCCAAGGGGTAGCAATGATAGGAGAATGTCTACCTGTGTGGTGTCCAAGGGGTAGCAATGATAGGAGAATGTCTACCTGTGTGGTGTCCAAGGGGTAGCAATGATAGGAGAATGTCTACCTGTGTGGTGTCCAAGGGGTAGCAATGATAGGAGAATGTCTACCTGTGTGGTGTCCAAGGGGTAGCAATGATAGGAGAATGTCTACCTGTGTGGTGTCCAAGGGGTAGCAATGATAGGAGAATGTCTACCTGTGTGGTGTCCAAGGGGTAGCAATGATAGGAGAATGTCTACCTGTGTGGTGTCCAAGGGGTAGCAATGATAGGAGAATGTCTACCTGTGTGGTGTCCAAGGGGTAGCAATGATAGGAGAATGTCTACCTGTGTGGTGTCCAAGGGGTAGCAATGATAGGAGAATGTCTACCTGTGTGGTGTCCAAGGGGTAGCAATGATAGGAGAATGTCTACCTGTGTGGTGTCCAAGGGGTAGCAATGATAGGAGAATGTCTACCTGTGTGGTGTCCAAGGGGTAGCAATGATAGGAGAATGTCTACCTGTGTGGTGTCCAAGGGGTAGCAATGATAGGAGAATGTCTACCTGTGTGGTGTCCAAGGGGTAGCAATGATAGGAGAATGTCTACCTGTGTGGTGTCCAAGGGGTAGCAATGATAGGAGAATGTCTACTTGTGTGGTGTCCAAGGGGTAGCAATGATATGAGAATGTCTACCTTCGTGGTGTCCAAGGGGTAGCAATGATAGGAGAATGTCTATGATAGGAGAATGTCTACCTGTGTGGTGTCCATGGGGTTGCAATGATAGAAGAATGTCTACCTGTGTGGTGTCCAAGGGATAGCAATGATAGGAGAATGTCTACCGGTGTGTTGTCCAAGGGGTAGCAATGATAGGAGAATGTCTTTCCACAAAGGTAGACATTCTCCTATCATGGTAGACATTCTCATATCATTGCTACCCCATGGACACCACACAAGTAGACATTCTCCTATCATTGCTACTTGTGTGGTGTCCAAGGGGTAGCAATGATAGAAGAATGTCTACCGGTGTGGTGTCCAAGGGGTAGTAAGGATAGGAGAATGTCTACCTGTGTGGTGGCCAAGGGGTTGCAATGATAGAAGAATGTCTTCCTGTGTGGTGTCCAAGGGGTAGTAATGATAGGAGAATGTCTACCGGTGTGGTGTCCAAGGGGTTGTAATGATAGGAGAATGTCTACTTGTGTGGTGTCCAAGGGGTAGCAATGCTAGGAGAATGTCTACCTGTGTGGTGTCCCAGGGGCAGTAATGTTAGGAGGATGTATAACTGTGTGGTGTCCAAGGGGTAGCAATGTCTACCTGTGTGGTGTCCAAGGGATAGTAATGATAGGAGAATGTCTACCTGAGTGGGGTCCCAGGGGTAGCAATGATAGGAGAATGTCTATGATAGGAGAATGTCTACCTGTGTGGCGTCCAAGGGGTAGTAATGATAGGAGAATTTCTTCCTTTGTGGTGTCCAAGGGGTAGCAATGATATGTGGTGTTCAATGGGTAGCAATGATAGGAGAATGTCTACTTGTGTGGTGTCCAAGGGGTAGTAATGATAGGAGAATGTCTTCCTTTGTGGTGTACAAGGGGAAGCAATGATAGGAGAATGTCTACCTTTTTGGAAAGACAAACAAGTATCTTCATCAAGTTTGTTGAAGATACTTGTTTGTCTTTCCACAAAGGAAGACATTCTCCTATCATTACTTCCCCTTGGACACCACACCGGTAGACATCCTCCTATCATTGCTACCCCTTGGACACCACAAAGGTAGACATTCTCCTATCATGGTAGACATTCTCATATCATTGCTACCCCATGGACACCACACAAGTAGACATTCTCCTATCATTGCTACTTGTGTGGTGTCCAAGGGGTAGCAATGCTAGGAGAATGTCTACCTGTGTGGTGTCGAAGGGGTAGTAATGATAGGAGGATGTCTACCTGTGGGGTGTCCAAGGGGTAGCAATGATAGGAGAAGGTCTTCCTGTGTGGTTTCCTAGGGGTAGCAATGATAGGAGAATGTCTATGATAGGAGAATGTCTACCTGTGTGGCGTCCAAGGGGTAGTAATGATAGGAGAATGTCTTCCTTTCTGGTGTCCAAGGGGTAGCAATGATAGGAGAATGTCTACCTTTGTGGAAAGACAAACAAGTATCTTCATCAAGTTTGTTGAAATATTACAATTACTTGATAATCTTAAAAAAATACTGCTACACTGTATGACATATCAACAGAAAGCTCTTACTTGTGATATTATCCACAATACTATACATATGTAATTTTCAGAACATTTTACAGCGGTTTTTCTTGACCCACTTTTTCAATATATACTGATTTGCAACCAGCGGTTGTACCCAACATGGCTGTCAGATTCCTGCTGAGCGAGATTCCATATCTCGCATTGTTCTTCAGAGTTGTGTCTATCCATACTCGTAGATTTATGAAAAAAAACACTGTACTTACAGGAACAATTAATTTTTCGGTATTACAAAACGCAAACAACTACAATCAGACAACAAAGGTATAAACCAATCAGCTAAATGAAATCTTAATAAAAGCAACTTATATTTGTTTCAGAAATATTCACGAACCTTTTGAATATTATGATTGTATATATTACGTATGAGGTGATCTACTGTGAAGTTTGCCCAACGAAACGTATTGTATTGTTCACACATAATGTACTTAAGAGCGAAGAGTAGCACTTTGATTTCTATTACTTATTCCGTTGTGGCACAGAAGACCAATATCAGAGGTAACATATGTACCACCTTGTATAATAGGATTACTGGATACAGATGATTATCATTAATTCAATGGCGAACCGACCACCTTGGGTTTTATAAAGCCGAACTAGACTCAAATTTATAGAATGAGTTGTGTCACGCCACAAATAGATTTTTATCCACATGGACATATATTTTTTTTCTTTTGAAGGCAGAATTGTCGATCACGTGTTAATCACGTTAATCTCATCATAATAACAGAAGAACATGCGATATAATCGATAACTTACCACACAAAATAGGCCTACAACTTGTCTGCTAGAACGTACAAAGCCTTCTACCCAACCGGGGAGTTCCCAACACAATTTCTGGAATAAACACAAGTACTTAGGCGTCATTACAGAGGACAAAATAGGATGTCAAAGTTGACACGAAAAGTCTCATAGCCGAGGAGGGAGGGAAAGAGAGGAACTGTTCTATAAACCTTCATATACGTGGAGGCGAGACATGCTCCGGAAGGCTAAGTTTTTTCTGTACCACTTGTTGCATGCGCCATAAAGATTCTGTTCGAATGCAGAAAATACACACTTAAATATACATAATAAACAGCACCATTTACCAAATGAG